ATGTCGGTCATGCAGGGCAATACAGATTCCATGCCCTGCGCAAAGGGGCACAGAGTGGAAGGAGAGGGCGCAGGGGGTGGGGCTGGCTCCCCCTCCACCCACTCTCCCTGTGCCAGTCAGCACCCTCCTAGCGTCCCAGGAGGAACTGGCCAGACACATCCTTTCCCTAGGAGGATTTGGAATACCTACTGCATCTGTAGCTGAGCTGAGCATGGTCACTCCTTGGTTTGGGAAGTTGCCAGATGCATTTGTGTTCAGGGCTGGGCTTACAGGATAAGTAAAAGCAGTTGTTCTGGGTTGTGTGGGAAGAACTGGGGGCCTTGATTAAGCAGAGGGACCCGCGGTGGGTCCCTGGGCATCTTCTCTTTACTTTGTGGGCACCTGGCTGGGGGAGTGTGGTATAAAGTGAAATATTGGTATTTGTCCTGGGTTCCTGTTGCAGAACCCTAAAACCCTTGGGATTTCCTTAATAATAGGAGTGTCTTTTTTTTTTTTTTTTTTTTGAGACAGAGTCTTGCTTTGTTGCCCAGGCTAGAATGAGTGCCGTGGCGTCAGCCTAGCTCACAGCAACCTCAAACTCTTGGGCTCAAGCGATCCTCCTGCCTCAGCCTCCTGAGTAGTTGGGACTACAGGCATGTGCCACCACGCCCGGCTAATATTTTCTATATATTTTTAGTTGTCCAGCTAATTTCTTTCTATTTTTAGTAGAGACGGGGTCTTGATCTTGGTCAGGCTGGTCTTGAACTCCTGACCCCCAGCGATACTCCCGCCTTGGCCTCCCAGAGTGCTAGGGTTACAGGCCTGAGCCACCCCAATTGGCCAGGAGTGTCTTTTGTTAATCATAATAAGCCCCTTTGATCATACCTGAGTTTATGCTAATGAGATGACTTAGAGTGGGGCCCCTAGATAGCCTCAGGATGGGGCCAGTCATCAGCAAGACCAAATGATTAGAGGATTGGAGGGTGGGAACTTTCAGCCCCACCCACGGACCTCCAGGAAGCTATATAAACACACTTGAGGAAGGTTTGATGAGCTGCTGAGCTGCTGAACTGGTGGAGGTGCTGGCGTGCCCTGTCCCTCGCACCTCTGTCCTGTCCACCTCTTCATCTGGCTGTCCACCTGCATCCTTTATAATAAACTGGTAAAGGTAAGTGTTTCCTTGAGTCTATGAGCCATCCTAGAAAATTAATTGAGCCCAAGTAGGGTGTCTTGGGACCCCTGGTTTATAGGCTGGAGGTCAGGAGTGTAGGTGACAACCTACTACTTGTGATTGGCATCTGAAGTAGGGGTAGTCTTGCAGGTCTGAGCCTTCAAAATGTGGCATCTGACTCTACCTCGGGGTAGGTAGTCAGAGTTGAAATGAGTTTGGGATACCCAGTTAGTGTCTGGTGGAGAATTGCTTAGCATGTGGGGAAAACCCACATCTCGTCACAGAAGTGTTCTGTGTTGCGTGTGAGAGTAGAAGGAAAAGACTTTTTTCCTTTACAGGGCGATTTGGGAAGGGTTAAGGCAGAGGAGTATGGGCAAAAAGGGGCTAGTGTTTGCCTGCATGCTTAGGTTCCAGGCCATGGAGACGGCGGGGTAGGGGTCGGAGTAGATTTGGTTTTTAGGTTCCAGTCAGAGAAGCAGAGACTCAAACCTGCAAGCCCAGCTTACCCTAAATAGTTACAGGGGAGGAGAGAAAATGATGCAGAGGGAATTTCCTGCCAGCAGCTGCTGGTTAAACCTCTTTGGGAAATGAATTCTACGCGCATGAAAACTGGATGTGCATTTAGAGAGTGCCAACACATTGTAGAAATAACAGAATAGGCATTGTTATTCTCTGACCTGAACCCGTGCTTGGCCCTTGCCCATGTAGGAGCCTACAGTGTCTCAGGTTGCCTGGGTAGCTCTGTTCTGCCCCAGCCCTCCCTGTAAAGGAGGTGTGACATTGGACTTGTGTTCTATATTGTCCAGACCCAAGCCACCCCCACCCACTGTGTCTCTCTGCACCTTTCCATCCTGTGTCATGGTTCTTGGAGATGGGAGGAAAGAGAGCAAGCACCCCAAGTTTCCCTCATCTTGCTGAGATAACCTTGACCATTGTAAACCAATGTTTATGGTGCTCTGCAGGAGAGAGCCCTTCCAGGATGGTGGCCTAGAAATTAGAAATGCCAGACATTACCATGCTTGGTTATTGACACTGGATGACTCAATCACCCACAAATATAGCTGGACCCTTCTTCACCTGGCCTGTCCATCCATCCAACAGAAATTCTGTGGTCTCAAGGAATTCATTGTGTGGAGGGGGAAACAGATACACAGGAAATAATTTTAAGGTGGGACAACATGTTGCAATAGAAAGATGGTCACAGTCCTGTGAGGGAACATCAGTGATGGAATGACCCAGAGGATGTGAGATGGCGCCACAAAGGAGTGGGCTTGGAGCAGGGTCTGGGAGGAGGAGGGAGTGGGTGGCTGCAGAGGAAGGCAAGAGAGATGACAGAGCTTAAACCTGAGCAGTGGACCGGGAGCGGTGGCTCATGCCTGTAATCCTAGCACCCTGGGAGGCCAAGGCGGGAGGATCGCTCAAGGTCAGGAGTTCAAGACCAGCCTGAGCAAGAGTGAGACCTCGCCTCTACTAAAAATAGAAAGAAATTAGCTGGACAATTAAACATATATAGAAAAAATTAGCCAGGCATGGTGGCACATGTCTGTATTCCCAGCTACTCGGGAGGCTGAGGCAGAAATATTACTTGAGCCCAGGAGTTTGAGCTTGCAGTTAGTAGCCTGATGCCGTGGCACTCTAGCCCCAGGCAACAGAGCAAGACTCTGTCTCAAAAAAAAAAAAACTTGAGCAGTGGTCTCTGCTCCTTCACGCTCCGAGAGCACCATGGGCCTGTTGATGGAGAAGCCGGGTGGGCAAACTCAGCCATATGTTTACAAAATGAGTGGCTTACAGAATGACTAAGAAGATTACACTGAACTGAAGACCGGTGTGTGCAGACCCGTGCATGCCTTAAGGATGAGATTCGGGTGGGAAGCAATTGGAAGGCACGCTGTATGGGGAGAGGGCGACTTGATTCCAATGTGTGCATTTGGCCAAATCTCTTAGCATCCTGAACCTCAGTGTCTTCATCTCTAAAATGGAGATGATCACTTCTGCATTCCCTGCCCCACAGGTGTCTTGAGTGAATCATGAGAGATGATATAAGTTCTACCCTCATGTTAGTTGCTGCAAGGGTTCGTCGTACATTCATATGCTCCCAAAACTTCCGGTTCAGGTTGCATAATCTACCAAGGAGTCTCATGTCCTCTGTCCCCTGGGATTTCCTCTTGGGGTCCAGGGAGTGTCAGTGGGGGCTGCAGACAGCTTGTGCACTTGGAGGAACAGGTGGGCCCCGGCTACACCATTATCTCAGTGTCCCCCACCAGCTTCCTGGGGGGAAAGCCCACAGACCAGGAAGCAGGAGGTGTCCGGCAGAGGTTGGTCCCAAGAAGAACCTGTTCTGACTGCTGTGGCGGCACCTCAGCAAGCAACGGGCTTCCAGGGCTGACTGCAGTAACCAGCAGGCTGTGTGGCAGGATGTGGTCTTTGGTTTTTGTTTCTGTTTTGACTTGTGCCATGTGGCCTGCTTAGGGCCTGGGGAAGGGGAAGTGCCCATAGCTAGAAGTGAACTCCCCAGGCACTGGCTCTTGGGGGAGGGTGTCAGACAGCCCCATTAAAGCCCTTTCCTCAAGATGATAGCCCGGGTGATCCATGCCCACTGTCAGCCAGGTTGGGAGGAGGATGGACAGGTGGGAGAGGGTTGCAGCGTCCTGTTTGTGGAGGAGCTGGGGAGGGACAGGCAAGGCTGAGCACCGCAGTTCACCACACTTGTCTCAGTCCAGAGGCCCCGAGGGGAGACCCGGGGAGGCACCCCCCTCCCAAAAGCACACTTGCACACGGTGAGTTTCAGGTCCCTACCCGCTGCCCTTTCACTTCTCCTCAGCTCCCCTGCTGCCCCACAGGTTGCCCCACAGTTGCCTCCACCCAGAGAGCCCGGAGTGGGGGCGGGGGAGGGAGGTGGGTGTAGGCTTCAGCACAGGCTGGCACCTCTGGTCCACCCAGCCTGGCCATCCGTGGGGCACTACCAGCTCCCACCCCCAGCCACATACTGTTCTTAGCTTCTGAGTGGCTGGTCTGTCCTGTAGGGCCATGCTGGGCCTCAGTGCTGTCCTTGGGCATGTGCAGATGGTGCTATATCCAGGGGGTGTTCAGGGAAGCTTCAGCACCTTCATATTAAAACAAAAAATGTTGGCATCTCCATCAAATGGTCAAGTCTTAGGGATATTATTAAAATTATGGACATGGCAAAGGGCATTATAAAGTAAGATTTATGTCAGCTTATAGCCAGTTATGGATGTTAGTAGAAAGAGCTTTCACAATAATAATAGTAAAATAATAAAATGAGCTATGTAGATGTTAGGGTGGTGGAGTTGCTGGTAGGGCTTTTAGCACACAGTGTGTTTGTTTGCTTGGTCCTCTGTGTGTGTGGTTGTTTTTGACTCCCCAAATGTTAAAACACATGTCCTACATTGTCTGCCTTCCATGGGGTTCTTGACCGCCCTTGAGAACAGATGTACCCGCTACAGGGTGAAGGTGAGAGTGTAATTTGAAGCTAAATGAGGATAGAAATGGATTCTAAAATTATATCTCCTCTCAGATTAACAAGTGTGTACACATTCAGTTATGGTGCAAGAAACCCTAAGTCTTAACCCCATGTGCGGACTGTCCACAGACTCACGTGGCTGGATTAATCAGATCTGAGCAAACAGGACAGCACAGAGGAGGTGGCAGTTTCTAGGAGAGGGGCCCTGGAGGCCAGGGCAGGATGAGTGTCTGGTGCTGAGCCCAGAGCCCAGGGCCTTGCAGTGTTTGCCTTGGATCTGCTGGGGGCAGTTTAAGCTAAAGAAGGCCTCCTCTTTTATTCCCAGGGACACATGGAAGCTGCCAGCCCACCAGCCAAGGATCAGCTAAGCCTACACTGCTGAGAATGGCACCGAGGGCCAGCCAACAAAGGTGAACGAGGGACACTCCTGGGCAGTGATCCTGATGTCTGTTCTGAGCCGCGCACTCGAGAGTGTGATCAGTGAGTATGTTCTGGGCACCCAAGGGATTGCCGGCTCCAGCTGCCTGCCTGGTGCCTCATCAGCATGGGTCTGGAGGTCTAGTTCTGAGCCTGCTTCCTGTCCCAGGGCCCATCACAGGGCTACAGTTCCGGAGTGGGAGGGGAGTGTCAGATATCAGGCTGTGTCACGTGCTGGAGCCATCTTATAGCCACATGGCCACCCCAAACTGGGCCAGACCCAGCTCAGCTGACATGATTGAAGCCAGACACCCACACCTGGGAGATAGCATCCACTTCGGTCATCGGGCTTTACATCCGTGCAGGGGGGACTGTACCTCACCTGGGACTGAACTCAGCCCAGAAGCCATGAGCAATTCATGTGGTGCTGTCCCTTGGGTAGAGCATCCAGGGCCCTGGGGACTGAGGGAGTTGGTGAAGCCTTAGCTGCCATAAAAGTGACTATCAGGGGGTCAGGAGGAACTGAGTCCACAGGTCAGCATCTCTTCTCAGCAAGAGTAGCTCCAGGTAGGGTGAGAAGGCCCCTAGCCACATAGCCTTGCCTGTCCTCACTTGGCCTTTCTTCCCAGCTCAGCCTCTGGCTTTTCCTTGATGCTGCTTTAAAAAATGACAATTGGCTGCTTTCCCAAGCCCTAGAGGCCTGTCTGGCCTGAAGGCTATTGTGTCTATACAGGGCGGACAGTCCAATGGTGGGATCAGGGATCAACAGGAAGGGAGTTCCCTGGAAGGCAAGCAGGTATGCAGGCAAGCAGGCAGGGCTGGCACCTTTGCAATCTTGACTGGATTCCATGCGGGAGTTTGTAGGGAGTGGAAAAAAGGTAACCAGGTGAATATTTAGGTAGATCTTGACTCTCGCAGTTGAGTTTACAACTCAGGGTTAGAATCTGTTTTCCCACTTAGCCTGGGTTTGCAAAACTAGATTGTGACTGGGGGTGGGGTGTCAAGAAGGGTGTTCTTGAGTGGATTTGTAGCTGGGGTGGTGTGAGCAAGCCTAGACCATGTAGGAGGGGGATTGGAGGTCGTGGAGGCCTCCCACTATGGGAATGTGATTACGATGGGAGGCCCCACATGACACGTCTTCCCAGCGCAGTCTACACCATAAGCCTCAAGATGGTTGTACCCTTTCGTCTAGTGATTCTATTGATTTTTCTTTTCTTTTGTTCTTTTTTTTTTTTAATCTTACTTGGAGATGTTAGTGATTCTACTTCTTATTAGGAAATAGTCCTAGAGAATAAAAGGACTTAATTCTTTTGTCACAGGCATAGAAGATGTTTCTTTCTTTTTTTTTTTTTTTTGAAACAGAATCTTGCTCTGTCACCCTGGCTAAAGTACAGTGGTGTGATCATAGCTCACTGAAACCTCAAACTCCTGGGCTCAAGTGATCCTCCTGCCTCAGCCTCTCAAGTAGCTGGAACTACTGGCGTGCACCACCACGCCCAGCTAATTTTTTCTTTTTTTTTTTGAGATAGTCTCACTCTGTTGCCCGGGCTAGAGTGCCATGGCATGTAGCCTAGCTCACAGCAACCTCAAACTCCTGGGCTCAAGTGATCCTCCTGCCTCAGCCTCTCAAGTAGCTGGAACTACTGGCGTGCACCACCACGCCCAGCTAATTTTTTCTTTTTTTTTTTGAGATAGTCTCATTCTGTTGCCCGGGCTAGAGTGCCATGGCATGTCAGCCTAGCTCGCAGCAACCTCAAACTCCTGGGCTCAAGCGATCCTCTTGGCTTAGCCTCCCAAGTAGCTGGGACTACAGGCATGCGCCACGACGCCCGGCTAATTTTTCTATTTTCAGTAGAGACGGGGTCTCGCTTTTGCTCAGGCTGGTCTCTCGAACTCCTGACCTCAAGCCTCAAGCAATCCTCTCAGAGTACTAGGATTACAGGTGTGAGCCACTGCGCCCCAGCCAGATGTTTCTTGTGGTATCATCTGTAATAGTGGAAATGAGAAACAGTTGTTCCCTTTGTTGAATGAACATCTAGGTTGAGTAAATTATAGTTTTTCACTTGGTGGAATATTATACAGCTACTACAATAATGTGCACATGGGCTATATAGCAACTTGGAAAAACAATTACAATACAATGAATCAAAACAGCAGGTTGCAGGGTAAGTAGATTAAGGAAACCTATAAAATACACACATGGGAAAAGATTGTAAAGGGGAAATGATAATGGCTGCTAGTTGGGTGGATTTATGAATTTTTTTTATTATGCATGGATTGGCTTCTTATTTATTTTTTTCTACTGAGAGACATGGGTGAGGATTGTCTTCTTTTAAAACGAAGTTTAATTTGGATGACTTTACAACATACCATTAATAGTGACTTTCACTAAGATGTGAGATTATAGGGGATTCTTGCTTTCTACTTCATTCCTTTCTGTAACATGTAAATTTTAGCTGTGAGCACATGTTACTTTTGTAATTAGAAAAAACAAAGATATTTTAAAATGCTAGAATTAAAAATTTTAGAAGGCTGTATTTCCCAAGAAAGAGGAGAGGAGAGAGGCTGAGCCAGCTAGCTGTTTATACCTGCCCTCATCAGTGATTAAGGGCCTGGGCCTGTCCGGGTCTATCCATCCATCCATCCATCCATCCATCCATTCCCCAGGCATTATTGCTATTGCCAGGCACACTCTAGGCACTGGTTACCCAGTAGTGAACAAGACAATGCCCCTGCCCTCATGAAGCTTTCATTCTAGCTGGGGAGAGACAGACCATAAATAAGTAGCAACGTATCAGAAAGTGAAAGTTCTGTGAAGAAAATAAGATGGAATAATGTGAGTGACAGAGGCTGTTATGGATTGGGGAACCAGAGAAGGTCTCAGGGGTGACAGCTGAGCTGAGACCTGAATGATAATAGGGAGGTGGCCATGCGAAGGCCTGGGAAGAACATTCCAGGCAACATGCCAGATGCCTTTGCTTCCTGAGCCCTGTGGACCTCCGTGCTAAGACTGCCTGCATTCCCTAAGCCCACTCACCCTGTTGTGCCTCCTGCTGGGACTGCTTAGTATCTGAGGCCCCTAAAATCCTGTGTGTGGAACAGTTGCTCCTGGTACTGTGGCTGCTGCTGCTCCGGGTCGATGGCTCCTGGGCTGCCTGCACGCTAGCCAGCGCTCTTGGCTGGTGTTTCTGTGGCAGGGGTTGGCCGTCTGGGATTCCCAGGAGCACTGGGGTGGGCTGACAGCCAAGGAGGCTCTGGGTCATGTGTGTCCTGGTGAGAGGTCTTGGAATGGCACAAGCCTTGAGGCCCTGAAGGTTGCAGTTGCCATGGTCCTGGGAGAGTCAGCTTTGACCCTGTAGGACTTTGTGTGGATCCTGCCAGAACTAGGCCTGAGGAATACGCTGGGAGCCTTTGGTAGCTCTAACACCCAGTTGTGAGCTTTGATGATCCACCTAGAAGCTCATGTCCTTTTCATTGCTTCCTGTTGTGTCTCCACCTACCCTCCCAGCTTTCCAGAAGCAGAAACTCAGAAAATGGTAATGTCCTCTGTGTAGCCTGCGGTCAACCTCAGAGGCAGTGCAGTATGGTGATTAGGAGTGAAGACTTGAGCCAGACTTGTGGGGTTTGAATTCTAACCCTGCCTTTTACAGCTGTAAGAATGTAGGTTCTTTCTGCCTCACTTTCCCCATCTCTAAAATGGGCTTGAGGATTAACATGGAAAGTACCAAGAAGAGCGCTTTGTTATTATTGTGAGCTGGGAGGTGGGAGAGGACCCCATTAAGGCCTGCAGCGTCACTGATCCCAGGGGGCTTTCCTGGGGGCTGCCCACAGCAAGAGTGTGGAGCCCTGTGGTGTCTGAGCCATCCACTGGCCACAGGTGTTTCCCTCCACTTGCTTCCCTTCTGGCCCTGAAGCAAGCCCTGTTTTCCTCCCCCCTAACTGAGGGCCACAGGGGAAGCTCAGGGTGGTTTCAGACCTTGCGTCTTAGCCCACATGGAAGAGCAACTTCCCTCCTCCCATGGACTGCACTCACCTCCAGCACAGAGCCTCCCAGGGACTGGCCCCACTGCCTTGCCCTCAGGGGCTTCCTAGAAGGGATGTGGGTCTCCTGAGGGCATGAAACTGTAGGGATTTAGGTGGGGGGTGGGAGGGAAGCGAAACTTGGGAAGTTAATGGGGTAAAAGAGGAAGGCCTGCCCAGCCTGGCTACATGGGAAGGGAATCCCAATGTTCTAGCAAGATATTTCTCTGGACAGAAATTCCCAGAATCGTGTTGTGGCACCTTAGCTTCCTGGAACAACATGGGAGTTTTTGACAAAACCAAGGGCATCTGGTTTTGCCTCCGGCCTGTCTTAGACCTATGTGGCAATCTCTTCACCCCTCTCAACTGCTCACTCTGCCCTCTGTCCCCTGGGGAATAGGTCAGCAGGCTCAGAGAGCAGCAGGTGAAATACTCTGAAGGCCAGCTCCCTTTCCTGTCACCTGTTCCCTTGGAGGGGTAGTTCCCTGCCCTGACAAGTCACCTTGAGTCCTGGCCCTGTGCTGGGACTGTGTGGCCCCAGGCCCTTTCATCAAGTATGAGGGCTCTTGTGTTCGAGTGTTATTCCCCCAAATCCCACTTATGAAGCCATCCACTAATCTCAAAACTCTTTCCCCAGCTTTCACTCTTGCTCACACCCTCCTCCTCTTCACTTTAAATTTTTGTCCCCGGGCTGTCCTGTGTCACGTTACTCAGAATGGTTGTATTTATCACAGGAGAAAGAGCTGCTGGTTCTTCCTGCTGCAGTCTCTGTCCAGACTCTCATCCCACAGCTGAGTGAGAAGGTACTGAAAGGGGCCTGGGGTCACAGCAGGTCAGGTGGGGGAGGCCAGGGGAGGGAAAGGGGGCCTGTTGTGCCCAGTGGAGGGTTGGTGAGCCTGTCCTAGCTCAAGGTTTAAGCATGGCTCCTGTGATTATTTGAAATGGGTTTGGGGAGTGGCTTTCTGAACATGTCCCTACGCCAATTCCTGGCCTCTAATCCCAGTATTTCCCACCACTCTACGAGCTGCCATCCCAGCCCTCTT